CTTGTGGGGCCATCTATATATAATATCATTTCACAGCACAGTACTACAGTCAACACTGCATTATATTGGTGGCATTAGGTTAAGGAGTATTAATATCATTTGATTTAAAAAAAAATTATACTGTTAGATTACTTTTTTTCATTTGGTACATTCTTGTAATAGTAAACTTTGGAGAAAAGGGGTTATAGAATGTGGTATTAATAATAATAGAAATAATGATGAGAATAACTGAAGTGATGATGATGATGACAAATATATGATGACAAAGATTTTTTTTTTTTTTTTTTTTTTTTTTTTTTTTTTTTTTTTTGAAGATTTAGGTTTAATTTCATATGTTACAATGGATATACTTTGCTGTGGCATACTGTCTGTTTTATTTTGCTTCTAAATCTCCCTCTGTGTGCAAGGAATGGCTGGGGTTACCATCCACTAGAAGCATGAGGGATTGAGTGCAGGTCAATGACAATGACAGTGATAATGATAATGATGAATGAAGTGGTAATAATGATAGAAATAATGATGATAATCATTGCATGACTATAATGAAAAAATATCAGTACTTATATACCCCGTAAGCAGTATATTTCGTAAATTCCAACCTGCTTCCTCATTCAATACAGACAAAATTTGCGGAGACAAAACAAGAGGAGATAGACAAGCTGCATAAGCGCTACCAACAGCTTGAGGAGGCACTGCAGGATGCACAGCGAGAGTACAAGGGACGGGAGCTAGAGGAACAACAACGGATGCGCGAGCTCTCTGATTATCGCAAGCATCTGGATGTCCTGCTGGTCCAGCTCAATAATCTGCCTCAGGTCAATGGTCAGTTCGGCAGGATGCTCTTTCTTCTCCTTGTTTTTCTCTTTATATTTTTTTCCATCTCCAATTTCATTTCACTGTATCTTCTGTCAGTTTGCCCTTTGCTCTTTTCTGTTTGACTGTCATCCTCTCTTTTTTCATTGGTCAAATGGATAGATATAGATATATTTATATAGATATGAATAGATAGATAGATAGATAGATAGATAGATAGATAGATAGATAGATAGATAGATAGATAGATAGATAGATAGATAGATAGATAGATAGATATAGATATTATAATATATATATAGATATAATATGTATATCGGTATATAGATAAATATATATATATATATATATATATATATATATATAGATATAATATAGATATATTAGATATAGATATAGATATAGATATATAGATATAGATAGATAGATATATTATAATCTATCTATCTATCTATCTATCTATCTATCTATCTATATACATATATATACATATATATATACATATAGATATATATATATATATATATATAATATATATATATATATATATATATATATATATATATATATATATATATATTTATTTATTTATTTATTTATTTATTCATAGATTTATATTTGCATAAAGATGTATTTTGAAAAGTATCTTGAATAATCTGATGTTACTACCCAATCCATTTCCTATAGATGAAGAGACAAAAAAGAGGCTTATGGAACTCACCCGGGATATCCAGGAAGCATCACAATCAATGGTGAGACTAGAAAGCCAGCGGGATGAGGTAGTCCACTCCAAGAAGGAGTCTGAGCGGAGGATCTTCAGCACGGAGCGTGAACTAGTTGGCTTGCAGGTAAGACGGATGAAGAATTGCATTTATTGAGCTCGTGCTTTCTTTCTCTCTCTCAGTTTCTCTTTGTTATGTATCCTGGTCGTGTCTGCCTTTTCCACCAGCTTTTCAGGATCTATTATTATATGAGAATACAAGAAACATCCTGAAGTGCCTGTTCTTAGGCAGGAGTCAGACAGTTGCATTATTTAGCTTGCCACCAGGGGACTCTAACCCATTGCTTCTGGAGCTGAGTTGTATGTATTGTGAGATTTATTTATTAATTGCCTTTACCCATAGATTGCTCCACAATTACTAAGTCACAAATGACCTAATGCTATTTACTAATACTGCTTATTTTGCCTGTTTACCCTTTTCCTTGAGTTTTAGAAATATATATGTATATTTTTTGGTATTTATGTCATTAACATTACAATTATAATGTTGATAAATATAGTATCAGCATTGATATTGATAGCATCTTAAAAAAAGAAAATCCCAAAAACTCAAGGAAACGTGAAACTAGATGAGGTCATGATGTCTGCTAATTGACCCCTTGGTAGCTATATCTGTTTGTTGAGACATTTCACTAAGCAATACTACAGGGAATATTACATTTTCCTGGCAATAGTGGCTTAATAAATTACTTTATCAGCTTTTGTTCCATATTTTTCCTTATTTTCCAACTCTGCACTTGGTGTGCTCTCTTCCAGAGAGCTAGTATTTATCTGTGCTGTTTTGTTCCCTCTTTTTTGAAGTTGGCTGTGGCATGTAGATGTCATCTGTTCTTGATCTTTAATATAATCAGGCTTCAAAACTATGATAGTATGAAAATCATTTATATATAGTATCCCTGAAAGACATTTCCATATTTGTAAAGTTAGATTTTTGTAAACACATCTCTTTGTTGAGGATAACAAAAATTGATACTTCAGAAGAATTTGTAAAACATGATTTGAATTTGATTTACGTATCAAGATTTACTAATTACTATTTTGTGTAGTTGTGGAAACAAGTTAATGCACACCTTTTAGTAAGCCAAATGAAGGGTGATCAACATGTGTGAATGGTGAAGAGTTTTAGTAGAGCTCAGGCTTAATGTTTCAATAGAATGGCATTTATGCTTTATTCAATCATAGTACCTTAACCCACTTCGGATGGGATTCCCCATTGCTATACAAGTAGGGTTCTCATCCAGGCAGCTGCTTAAGTGAGAAATTATTCACCTTGTAGTCCATGAGCTTGGCAGTAGCATAAAGACTGTCTAGGAAATAAGGCTAAAATGAAGCTTTAAGCCTATTTGAAGGGTGGTTTCTCACTCAGCTGGTGTGAATGAAGATTTTGCCATGATGTGATAAAACATCATCTGACATGAAGAGGTTAACCTACTCCTTAAGGTACTGTCACACTAGCACTTTTTCCGTCAATTTTTTAACAATATTCGGAAGTTTTGTCCATTTTTGGGCGAATTGTCGATTTTCAAGTCAGACGATAATGATTGTTTCCGTCTGAAAACCTTTCTGTCAACTTTTTCAGCCAAGCATAGTCAAATCAAGAGCTATATATGAGAATGTTTGTATTTATGTTGAATATAATTATCAAAAAATTGTCGGAAAAAATGGTAGTGTGACAGCACCTTTACTGATCATTGTGTTGGGGTGCATGTTGAGTGAACTGCTGTTCGTGTTGTATTGACTCATTATCACCTAATTATGTTTATTGCCAGTGCTTTCTCTTCCTTCTCTTTCTTTTGACAGATGATCTAGTCATCGTCTAGCAAAGATAATCCAGAGATAATGTTGTTGACTAGGAGAACATGGGATATTCGAAGAGGAAAGAAATTCACCTGCTTGTTACCTTGTTCAAGTACACATTGTTGCAATAATTTGCTTTATGTTTTGTTCCAGGATGTGGCGAGACAACGCCTTGAACTCCTGAACAAGACAAATGCAGAAGCCTACAGAGCAGCAAAGTGGTTGGAGAGCAATGCAGATAAGTTTTCTGCACCTGTTTACCCTCCCTTGTGTACGCAGGTTAGTCTGGGTTATTGTTAATTTGTTGAGAAGTTAGTGTAGGTGTGTATGCTTTTTGTCTTTGTGATTCTCATTCATATCATCAGTATCATTACTATTATACCATCACCATCATCATTTAAATGATCACCATTTAATTCATTGTCCAATAAAATCATCATCATCATCATTATTGCCATTTCTATAATGTATATATATTTTCTTCATCATAGCATCACATTACCTTTAATAAATCTCTCATTTTCTCTCTAAATCCTCTCACAGACCACTCTTACTTCCCCTTTCTCCCTCATCACCCCTCATCCTCTCACTGACACATCCCTACCTTATACTCACTCACCCTCACCCTCCGAACCCCCAGCTCAACATCAAAGACCCGAAGTATGCCAAGTACGTGGAAGACCGCGTCAGCTACCAGGACCTGGTGGCATTCGTGTGTGAGAGCAAGGAGGACATGAACCTCTTCAAAGAACTCATGGACAAACAGAAGATGCGCGTCAATGTGGTGCATTCATCCCCAGCCGATATGTCACAGTTCCAGCCTAAGATACCCATTGAAAATTTAAAGTATGTTGGTTTTTATAGTTCCACTTGGGTTTAAGTTGACAGTGCTAGTGTTATTGATTTTTGTTAATTTTCATATTAATTACATTAATGTTTATTTTGGGGTATCTAGCTTGTTAACTTTTTATTGTTCATTGTAGGATTACTGAAAATCAAGATGTCACCATCACTTTCTTACATTACATTACATTTTAATCTCTCTTTTTCTTTTCAATCCCACCAGAGAGTTTGGCTTCCTCAACTATATGATTGATGTTGTGGATGCCCCCCCTGCAATCCTCTCCTACCTTTGCCGCAACTACTCCATCTACAGAATACCTATTGCGGAAAAGGCAGACTTTGACCGGGTGCCTGTGCAACTGCCGTATTTCTATATAGGTGAGGAGAAGATTTATTGTTGAAGTTGTGGAAGTATAGAATTACCATGATCAGTGTTGTCCATAGTTTGTTTGTTTTATTTGCCATAAAATGAGCTAATTTCATATACGTACTAAAAATACAAGAAGAAAATTTTAGACATTGACATTCTCTACAATAACAAAACAGAAAAAGCACGGTACACAATCTAGAAAAATCAGAGATATACTCAAACACTACAAAGAAAAGAAAGCACCATAGTGCTGTGTCTAACGAAATATTGGAAAAAAAATAAAGTAAGCATGGAGATATAAACTTATGACTCATACAGTAATAACTCAAGAGGGAGACCAACCGATATGTAAGATGATATTTACCTTCGCAGAGTAGGGCTTACCCCGAGGAATGTCGGATCTACAAATGCAAATAAAGGCATACTTACAGAAGCAAGTGGTAACTGCTTCACTTTAAACGCTGCTTGGGGACTTTCTCTCCTAAAAGGTCACATTGAAACAAGCATCACAAAATATAAGGACAGAATGTGCCAAATTTTACAAATACTTTAAGCTTTGATGAGATCCAAAATTTGCGTTACCTTCAAATACATCTTTTATGGTGTTTAGGCAAGGATTTGGTCATGTAAACAAGCCAATAGTTGGTGACTTTATGCTGAATATGGAAAGTTTGCCACTGGGGAAGTGTACCCTAGCTGTGTGCCGTCTTCAGGTGTACAGGATGAGCATTTTTTCATTTTTTGTAAGAATTTATATTGTAGAAGCTTTCAGAGGAGCTAGGGATGGTATTGGGAAATTGATTGCCTGTGAGATGTCATCAAAGTGTCAAGCACTTTTCCCAAAATGAAAATTCATTGCATCATGTCATTACTTAGGGATGCGTATCATCAAAAGTACTGACCATGTTAATGTAATATATAAATTAGATTTAACATATGATATTAGAGAAGGATTGTAATAACTGGGTTTGACTAGCTGGAAGGATTGAATGAATGCATCCTCATAAAGTTAAATGAAATCAAAAGGCATTGAATTATTGGTAGAAATATACCAGTAACCAATTTTATTTTACTAACTTGACTCATTCAGTCTAATTACTTTCTCCCTTTAAAATTGCATACAGGTGGGGAGAGGTACTCCAAGGCCCAGTCAAGGTATGACAAGGAATGGTCAACCAGTATCTACCCTGTAAAGGATGCACGGCTGCTGCACATCACCCAGGACACACAGCGCATCCAGCAGCTCCGGGAAACTATCAACAACAGTCGTGACATGTAAGCTTGATTTGTAGATTTGGTGAAATGTTGTTAGTTGCACACTTTGCAGTGAGGTTGTTTTTGAGTTATTTTATTGATTGGTATTAGTTATTACTTTAATTATGCATAAAAGGAAACATGTATAAGCATGAATCAAATATACAAAATCAGACATACTCTCTATCACATACTTATTTAATCAATTATTATAGGATTGCCGATGCTGAGGAGAAACTAAAGCAAAACAAAACAGAAGAACATGAGCTTACAAAGAACCTCGAGAAGCTGCGTAATGAGAAGAGAGTCCTCCACTGTCGCAAGGAAGAAAGGTAAGACATCAAACTCTGAGAAATGTCCAGGTAAGAGCTTGTGTGTTGTGTCTGTCTCATCCATAACTTTGTGAATCTAGCATGATGAAAATTGTGACACTTTCTTATACTTAACTCATAAAGGCCACATCTCGGTAACCACAATGTAGAGGAATGGGGGTTGGAGAGAAAGGAAAGATAGAATGAGGGAGGGAGGGAGGGGAGAGGGAGACATGGAGGGATAAAAGGAGAGAAGGAGGGAAGAGGGAGAGAGGGAATGGGAGAGATGGGGGAGAGAGAGAACGAAGGGGGAAATGATAGGGGAGAGGGTAAGAGGGTAAGGGAGGGACAGAACAATATATATTAATGTCCATATTATGGGTTGTGGTTTAAATTGATAAACACTTCATAAATTACTGTCCGACAATTAGACTAAGACTCCCTTTGGACACCCTTACCTTCATTTCAAGGCTGTTCATGATCGTCTCTAACATATGATGAATGTTTTGACTCATGTTGAAGATTTTAAGATTATGTGGTGTAACTCTGATGTAGAAAATGTAAAAAAGAAGTCAGCTTTCTTGGACAGAAAAAAATATAGAACTGATTAAGGTTGATTGAAATTGAATTTTTTCTTTTATGGTTTAATGCAGGAAACAGATGGAGCAACGTATAGCCAACAAGAAGAACCAGATTGCACGTCATGAGAAGAGTTCCGTCAACCTGGAGGCCGAGAAGGCAAAAATGACCAAAAAGATCAAGGTAAAACTCAGATTTTTTTTTTTTTTTTTTTTCATTTTTTTTATTCTTGTTATTTTTTATTCTTGTTATCAATAGCACCATTTTATTGTACTTTTTATTGGATGAATAATATTTTCTCACTCATTCCAGTTGAATATTGATGAATCATGTTTAGCTTTTTAAGGATTTTTTTTTCTTTGTAGGTTTTCCATGCTATTTTTTTTAAATGCTGGTTGAATATGCTTCATCATTATCTGTGAAATGTGAGGTAAAACACTATCATAGTAATGCTGGAGTGTGAGGAATAGCCTCTGTGAAAATGTTATAATTTTTTGCCAGATAATGGTTAACATAAAGAATTGAAAAAGAATTGCACACCACACAGTGATTTTAGAAAGAATGAATACACACAGATTTACAACTCTTCTTCTTTCTCTTCCTCTTCCCCTTCCCTTTCTTATTCTTATTCCTCTTCTTCTTTTTCTGCTTGTTCTTGTTCCTCTTCCTCTTCTTCTTCTTCCTCTTCCTCTTCCTCCTTCTCCTCTTCCTCTTCATCTTCATCTTCATCTTTCTCTTTGTCTTCCCCTTCCTTGTTTGCCTCTTCCTCATCTGCCTCTTCTTCCTCTTCTGTTTTCTTCACCAGATTCAGCATCATCTATAAAAAGAGAGAGAGAGAGAGAGAGAAGAAAAAAAGAGAGAAATATTTGTCTCCCTTTTGTACAGGAAACAATAAGCATGATGATAGGCAGTATGACCGAGCAGAAGAAGAAGATGGAGGTGCTGGCTGAGGTGGCAGTGGAACACTCCAAGCTGATGACGCAGGCAGCGGTCACAAGAACCTCCTTGCAGATCCTCGAGGAGGACTTAGTCTCATCGGAACAGGCGCTCACCACCCTGCAGGTATGTGAGGGGAGTTGTTGGAGAATGGATGAGTTGGAGAATAGGATTGTGTGAGAGGTGTGTGGTTGTGCATGTGTGTTTCTGTTCTTTGTTCTGTAGCCTAATGTTTCTTTGTATCAGACTCGTTTTTTCTTTTTCTTTATCTATGCATGTGTTCCTCTCTTTGTATATCTTTGTATTTTTCTTTCTATCAGTATCTCTCATTATTATATATGTGTAGGTCCTGCTAAATTACCAAGATAATGTCCTTGGATAATTAAGCATTCTCGTTGGGCTACCAAACTGGTCCGAAGGATCATGAGAACTCAAGTGAAATAAGATTTCATGCATTTGTACACTTTTCTCAGATCCTGAATGGCTGTGTGAATTATGGTCATGGATTGAGAAATTTGGGAACCCTGTACCTGTCATCTTATCTCTCATTCTCCCCGGTTTTCTTTTCCCCTCCCCTTCTTGTCTTCTCTTTTCCTACGCTTTCTCTCCTCTACTTCTCCATCCTTCCTCCTCCTTTCTGGCACAACTATAATCCGTAAACAAATATCTCCTCTTCCCCTTTAATACAGGAAAGCATAGACAGGTTGACTCGTGAGCAGGATGCAGCAAAAGCAGATGCCACTTCAACCTTGCAGGAACTCCTCCACTCCCTTGGTGTCAGAGACTACAAGGACATAACAAATGAGGTTTGTCGATCCTTTGTTAATTTTTTTAGTACTTGTGGTGCCATCTATGTGTAAAAACAATTAATAGATTAAACACGCGGTGGGCATGGCAGGTACACACAGGCCATCTCTGGTGGGATGGGGTTGAGTCCAAATAATGGGCTCATTATGAATTATAGATTACTATTTGTGAATACTGTGTAAGATCTCTGTTGGTGTGTAAGTTACATGTTTATTTTCATTTGTGTATTTGAGTCTATGTTTACATGTTTGGTCAAATGTGAATACCTGCTTATACATATGTATATAGACATATATTTTCCTCCAACCTACTGGCACTCTCTTCACAGATTAGAGAAAGGTTTAGAAATTCTAACCTGGAGGAAACAGAGCAGAAACTGCACCAGTTGGAGGCTCACCGTGACTGTCTAATTACAGCCAATGACAGCGTTAGTAATTGAGAAGTATTTTTGTTTTTCTTTGTGATAAGTGAAATATATTTACAACTCTTGTCCTTCATATCCCTGTACATGTCAAAGATATTCGTTATTTACCCATTGTGCTGCAAAATAGTTCCTCTTATACCTGTCTATCATGGTTTTCACATATGAATGAGAAAGAAGAACCTCAATATCATTCCTTCATTACTCCTTCCCTCTCTGCCTCGTTACTTCAGTCTATCTTTCCTTGTTTCCTTCAGTCTCTCCTTCTCTCCTCTCTCCCTCTCTCCCTCTCTACCTCTCTCACTCTCTCCTGCTCTCCCCCTCTCTCCACTTCTCTCCTTCTTTCCCCCTCTCCCTCTATCTTCCTGCCTTCTGTCCCCCTACAGATCACTTTTCTTCCTCTTCACCTCTTTTCTTTCCTTCTTCGTTACTTTGCATTCCATCCTTTGATTAGTGTCTTCTCAACCCCCTTTCTTTCCTGCTTTCCCTCCCTTTCCTTTTTTTCTATTTCTAATTTTCTATTTCTATTCTACCCTTCTTTCATTGCCCCTTTCTTTCTGCCTCCCTGCTCCATCTTTCCCCTTTCCTTCCTCAAAATCAGTCTACCAATTACTTAATCCTCCCCCTTATCTTTGACCACATCTCCGCAGGAAGTGAAAGAGTACAGACAAAGAGAACGAGAAGTGAACGAACTTCAGCAGAAGTTGGAAGGGGCGCAAAACACGGCAGGCAACCACCACAATGCCCTCGAGGATAGCAGAACTAGGTGGGATTTGTGGTTGTATTAGGTTGTTGAGTTGTATGATCTCTCTCTCTCTCTCTCTCTCTCTCTCTCTCTCTCTCTCTCTCTCTCTCTCTCTCTCTCTCTCTCTCTCTCTCTCTCTCTCTCTCTCTCTCTCTCTCTCTCTCTCTCTCTCTCTCTCTCTTCTCTCTCTCTCTCTCTCTCTCTCTCTCTCTCTCTCTCTCTCTTCTCTCTCTCTCTCTCTCTCTCTCTCTCTCTCTCTCTCTCTCTCTCTCTCATCTCTCACTCTCTCTCTCTCTCGTCTCTCTCTATTCCTTTTCAATGTTTATTTGTCTTTCTCTTTTTCATTCTGTCTGTTTTCCTGCTTCCTCATTGTGTCTTTTCAATCTTTCTCATTGATTCTTTTTCTTCTTTCTTTTTTTCTTTTCTTCTATTCCTCTCTCTTTTTTTTTTTTTTTTTTTCCTTTTTATTTCTTTTACTTTTTTCAATTTATTTTCACTCTTTCTCTCTTGTCCACTTTGTCTTTCTTTCTCTTATTCTCTTTCTCATATTCTCATTCTCTCTTTCTCTCATTCACTTTTTTCTTTCTTATTCTCATATTCTTTATATATTATTTCTTTTACTCTCTTTCATGCTGTCCCTCAATCTCTTCTTTCCATCTCTTTTTATCTGTTTTAGCTCCCATTTTTTCCTCCCTTGTTCACTTTCTCTCTCTCTCATATATATATATGTGTGTGTGTGTGTGGTGGGGGGGGGTATTTGTAACCACATGGCTGCTTAGATCAACACCGGATACAACTAGTAAAGACGACAAGTATTCCCTACAGATGGTTGCCGAGAATCCGAGAGCTGACAGAAAACATTAGCAACAACTTTTCAAGCTTCATGGCCCGCCTGGGGTGTGCTGGAGAGGTTCTCCTTGATGTGGGGGAGGAAGTAAGTTGCTTTGATTTGTTGCTTCTTTTAATTTTGAGTTTACTAACTGAAGAATGAAGAGAATAGTGATTTTCACACACGCACACGCACACGCACACAACACACACGCACACGTACACGCACACGTACACACACACGTACACACACACGTACACACACACGCACACACGCACACACACGCACACACACGCACACACACACACACACACACACACACACACACACACACACACACACACACACACACACACACCACACACACACACACACACACACACACACACACACACACACACACACACACACACACACACACACAAACAAACACATAATTTTTCATCTCCCTCCTCAGGACGACTTCAGAACGTACGGCATCAAGATCAAAGTGCGCTTCCGCGACAGTGACCGCCTGCGGGAGCTCACGGCGCAGCACCAGTCGGGCGGGGAGCGGGCGGTGTCGACGGCCCTCTACCTCCTGGCGCTCCAGAGCCTCACCTCCGTCCCCTTCCGCTGCGTCGACGAGATTAACCAGGTCAGGAGTCGGGAGAGGGGAGGGGGTTGAACCACTGACGTCCATTAGCGGTGGCTTCAAAGGGGGTTTGACGGTAAATGTGGGAGGGAAAGAAGGGTGGGTTGAGGAAGGTGGGTTAAGGACAGATTTATGTATTAAAAGAGGTCAAAGATTATTTTTTTTTTTTACATTGTGTTTTGACATGTTGGTTGTATATTATATATATTATAATTATATATATATATATATATATATATATATATATATATATATATATATATATATATATATATTATTATTAAATGTTTTTTTTAATGTTTATGCTTCATGTCAGGAATGGATCCCATTAACGAGAGACGGATGCTGAACATGCTGGTCAAAACGGTCGCGGCCGAGGAGTCTGGACAGTATTTCTTCGTGACGCCAAAGGTTAGTTTTGTTTGGGTAAAGGGAAGGTCAGTGTTTCTCTCCCCCCCCCACTCTCTCTGTTTCCACTCTCCCCACTTCAGCGAATCTCCCCCCCCTCCTTCTCCCTCCCTTCTCCCCTCTCTCCCTCTCTTCTCTTCCTCCCCTCTCTCTCTCTCTCTCTTCCCTCTCTTTCTCCCTCCTTTCCCCCTATCTTCCCTCTCTTCTCCTTCCCTTCCCCCATATCTTTCCCTCTCTTTCTCCTTCCCTTCCCCCCTATCTTCCCTCTCTCTCTCCCTCCCTTCCCCCCTCTCTTCCCTCCCTCCTCCCCACTCCAGCGAATCTCACCCCCTCCCTCTCCCTCCTTCCCCCCCTCTCTTCCCTCTCTCTCTCCCTCCCTCCCCCCCTCTCTCCCTCCTCCCCCCACTCCAGCGAATCTCAACCCCCTCCCCTCTCTCCTCCTTTCCCCCCTCTCTCCCTCTCTCTCTCTCCCTCCCTTCCCCCCTCTCTTCCCTCCCTCCTCCCCACTCCAGCGAATCTCCCCCCCTCCCTCTCTCCCTCCTTCCCCCCTCTCTTCCCTCTCTCTCTCTCCCTCCCTTCCCCCTCTCTTCCCTCCCTCCTCCCCACTCCAGCGAATCTCACCCCCCCCCCCTCTCTCCCTCCTTTCCCCCCTCTCTTCCCTCTCTTCTCCCTCCCTTCCCCTCTCTCTTCCCTCCCTCCTCCCCACTCCAGCGAATCTCACCCCTCCCTCTCTCCCTCCTTTCCCCCTCTCTTCCCTCTCTCTCTCCCTCCCTCTCCTCCCCCTCTCTTTCCTCCCTCCTCCCCACTCCAGCGAATCTCACCCCCCCCTCTCTCCCTCCTTCCCCCTCTCTTCCCTCTCTCTCTCTCCCTCCCTTCCCCCCTTCTTCCCCCCTCCTCCCACTCCAGCGAATCTCACCCCTCCCCTCTCTCCCTCCTTTCCCTCCCTGTTCCCTCTCTCTCTCTCCTCCCTTC